CTCAAAGTCTCCGGCCGTGGTCCCCTGACCCTCGGCCTCAAGAACATCGAGCGTGGCGGCCTCGGTGAAAGATTCTGACTTGGACTCGTAAGGGGAAGCACTAAAGCTAGAAGAAAAATCAAAGGAAGAGGAAGAGATGGAGGACAAGGAAGACATCTTACCTAAGTCTTGGAAGCTAGGACTGCATAATTGAAGCAAACACCGAGCACCGCAGACTACTCCTCGTCGAGCTCTCTGAGAAACTTCATTTAGAAATGAGGAAGGAGAAATGCTCTCTTCTCCCTATATATAGATCCTCGACGGCTTAGGTCACAGCAAGATCAATGGCATAGATCAAGCGCCGCTCTAACAAGCCCGGGAAGGCTAATCAACACTTCCGCCCTTCGCACGTGCATAACCTTGGGAAGCGAAGCGACGTCTCTGACTACCCGTTTCAAAAATGGCGCGACCATCAACCCGACAGGATCAACCCTGAAGAACCGGTCTAACTTCAGGCTGCGCGAACTAGACCGGAAGCTCAACCAGACTTTGACTTTGAGTTCCTTAGCCGAGGAATAAAGCATTCTTCCGCACTACACTTTGGCCGAGCACTTAACTCCTCGACTTCGGAACTAGGGGAGTGGTGTTCGAGTTATGGATGAGCTGGCTCCAAACGCCACATGGCGCCTATGTGGCTGCCTTATCTCCTCGACCACATAGGCACCACGTCATGTCTGCGGCCCACCTTATCTCCTCAGCCACGTCAGCACTACATAATCTCCATGGCCCCATTCGACCTTTTCGGCCATGACGACTCCACATCATATGGATAAACTCGACTAAGATAGGAGAACTGATGGGGACAAACTCCGTTGGGGATTAGGTCTTATCTCGGAGACCTCGGCGGTTAACCTCATCCCGACAACCCCGAATGCTTTATTCGATCAGGACACGACTCCTTGGCTACAAAAAGGTAACTCCCACTCAAGGTAAGGGATCCAATTCCAATTCTCTCAACTTCCTCTGTTATTCTCCTCAGACCATCACAGTTTACCAATTGTTCGACCCAACCGCCCATATCCTTCTACTGACTTGAGCGTCAGAGTATCTACCCGGGGATAACTCCTTAGGCCTCTGATTGATTTCGTGTTCGTAGATCTTGGTGCGCGGCTCCGTCCTTCCACCTCGGCTCCGCTTAGTTGGCAAGGACTATCTGACTGTGACCTTGGTTCTTGCACCACCTAGGATCGAATAACATCAGTGGTGGTTGTTTCTTTGATACAATTGGAGGGTAAAGTTGATACATGAAATGCCATACTTTTATATCTAAAGAGATAATAGGGGCATAATAGTGATTTCATTGCCTCAATCCACATCAAATTAAATCGATAAAAGGGTTATTTGTATAACTTCTTCCACATACCAAGGGAGAAATTTGGAGAGTTCAAATTATGGAGAAGGTTAAAGTAGGGAGGGTTCAAGTGATTTGCCCTATTTTAAAACAATTTTTGGAATTAAAACAATTCTTTTTCTACAAGACCAATGAGGCCCAAAACATCATTGCAGGAGTCCTTGTGGTTTTGGATAATCTATAGGTAGCCATGTATACTTGGAGGGGTAGTGAGTAATGATAATTAGCCTCTCAACTTTGTGCAAAGACATCATTAACTAACTTCTTGGATTCCAACATTTTGCCCCTAATGTTAGCATTCTCTCTAAACTTTATGGAATATTCTATTAAATAATTCTAAAACCCACAAGCTACCCTTATTTGCATTTAAAAAAATCTATCCTTATTTTATTTTATGTGACCATTTTGTCCTTTTAATTTAATTTATTTATATCCATATTATATTAATCCATTGTGTGGAACTTTAGTTGACCAAAATTTCTATTGTGAGGATAGAAAATGTAATTTGAATTTGGGTAAATTTTTTAAACTATCCTTATGGTTTAGCTAATTAACTAAGTATACTCTTATATATTTTTTACTATTATCTAACAGTACCCCTACTGTTTTTGACAATTGACTAACTTTACCCTTACCGTTAAGATCCATTAATATTCTATCAAAACTCGCATACACGTGAAGTATAAATTTTTTTAAACCCAATTTTACTCTTACCATCTTCTTCTTTTTAGCAGTGGCAAACCGAACTGGTTGGTCCTTAACCAGTAGCAGCGATACCCCCTCAACCTCTACCCCCCCTCTCTCTCTCTCTCCACCTCTGGCCCCTTCATTCTCTCTCCCTTTTTGGTGCCACTTGTCTCACCACGCTGAAATGACCCTAGCCCATTGTAGTCATCGACCTCATCAATGACTTCTAGGGTCTCCCAATGCCATTCTTGGAATTGCTCTCTTCACCCTGAAAACAAACAATGCTCTAAGACTATAACGAAAGAAACAAACATGATTTATTGTGTTTAATTAGAAGAGGTACGGGGAGGAGATGAGGTGGTATAAGGCCTATGAATTAAACTGAAATGCGGTGCGGCGAATTAAACCGCACTGCTGCTCCCTTGAGAACCGCTCGGGGACAAAGCGGTAGTATGATTAGTTCTCAATGGTGCGGTACGGTGAATTAAGCAGTTTGGGGAGAGAAAACAAACATGATTTCAGTAAGAAAGCAATTTTGTGGCAACTCAATATCCTGATTAGTTCTCAATGGGGCAGATCATACTACCACCGCTGGATCGAGTTGCAGTGGTGGGGCGGAACAAGGGAGAAAAAAAAAAAAAGAAAAGAAAAAGAAGAAGAAGAAGAAGGAGGGAAAAAGGAAGTTGCTACCACCATTGGTTCGAGTTGCAGTGGCAAGGCGGAACATGGGAGAAAAAAAGAAAAGAAAAAGAATAAGAGGAAGACCGAGGGAGAAAGGGAGAAAGGAAGTTGCTACCTCCGTTGGTTCGAGTTGTAGCAGTAGTGGCAGAAAAGGGGAGAAAAGGAAAAGAAAAGAGTGCATGTCCTCAGTACCCGTTCAATGATTCTGCTAGACATCTTGCTCACAATCTGCCCGTTAAGCTTGTTAAGGGAAACCTCATAAGAAGAATAGAAGGATCTTTGAATTTGATTTAAAGGAAAAATGGACATTTTAGCCCTTCTGTGAATATTTTAACAGCAATGGTAATTTTCCAAAACAGTAGGGGTAGCATTAGACAATAGTCAAACAGTAGGGTTATACTTAGTCAATTAGCTAAACCATAAGGTTAGTTTAAGAAATTTAAGGTATTAACTCTCATAATCATCACGCTCTAATTGTGATGACATAAAATATAATTTGAACTATTACTTTCATCTCATTCAATTCCCTTTCGTTAAGTCTTATATTTAAGATGTTAACTCTCATTCTCTTGCATTGAATTTTATATTTAAGTTTTTTCCAATAACAATTTGTATCAATTAGATATGTTTCCAATATTTTTAATAATATAAAAACCATGTTTTTGAAATCAACACAAAAACAAAGCTATATTTTCGTCTTGGTGGTGGGTAAGCAATTCAACCATTTGGGTGAAATGGGTCAACTCATTTTGTCATAGTTAAATAATATTTTTTTAAATATAAAAAATAAAAAAGAAATTAGCACATCTCTAATATTGTATATTAGTTATATTAAAGAATAGCAAGTGTGATAAACAATAGTTGTTTTTATTAACATTAAAAATGAAACACAAAATTTCAAACTGCCCCAAAAATGATTTTGTTTGCATATTTGTGGTGGGTTAATAGTTCAATCTTTTGGGTCAAATGTAGCAAGCCTCAATGTTGGAATTAAATAATAAAAATTTAAAAGAAGATAAACACAACAAGATAAAAACGTTAAAAAATTCAATAATATTTTATATCAATCATATTAATTAGTAAAGAAATATAAGTGTCATAAACAATATTTGTTTTTTTTTCCCCATGACAGAAATGAAATTTAAAATTTAAAATCAACCAAAAAATGAAATTGGTTTTCTATTTGGTGGTGGGTCAAAAGTTTAATCTTTCGAGTCAAATGTTCATTGATATCATAATTAAATAAAAAAAAGTTAAACAAGAAGATCATAAACATAAAAAATTATGAAGAAAAACATACGTTTTATAGAAAACATTTGAACATATGTTTAATATTATACTTTCATCATATCAAGCAAAGTTAACAAAAAATTGAAAGAAAAAGAAAATTTTGAGCACATATATTAAAGAAAGAAATGTGTTAGAGTGTCAACTCAAAAATGGAATTGTTTTCATGTTTGGTGGTGGGCCAACCATTCAACCTTTCCAGCCAAATGTATCAACCCTTCATGTTGTAACTAAATAATAAAAATTTAAAAGGTAAAAACATAAAAAATTATATAAAATACAACATTTTGTAGAAAACATTTGGATAAATCTCTTTTATCATGTATTCATCTTATTAAATAAAAAAATGTGATAAATAAAAATTTATTTTATACATATACAATTATAAAAAATTCAGAAGCATTTTATTACTATCATAATCATCATTACGTAAAACACATGCATAGTGGCCAATTTTTCTAAAATCCTCTCACATGGTACACTCAACCTTCTTTCTACAGAGTTCATCTTGATGATGCCTTAAGAATGATTATTTTATCAACCCCTTGAGAATGATTATTTTCATCATTTTGATATAGGTTATTCATCGGTGTATGCTGTTGGCTCATAGAATCTTTAATGGATAGTTTAGCAATTTTATGTTTACCATCAACTCATTTTAGTATGCGTTACTTGATTTGTCTTCAAAATCAATAAAAAAGTGGTTGATATGGTTGATGAATTTTTTTTTTTTTTTGGGATTTTTTTGACAATTAGCCATTAAGCACATTAGGCGCCCTATCAGTATAATAGTAAATAAATATTTTTGTATTAAAAAAGGGTTAAAAGAATTTATCACTATTTAAACCTGCCAAATAGAAAAACACCTCATTGATGAACCAGGGGTTACTGCTGAAATCTAAGTAAGTCGGAGGGGGTTTTGTAATAAAACAATTAAACAAAATTCAACTTTCAAGGGGCTAAGTGTATCTGCTCTAAAGTACAGATGGTTATCTAATAAGTTGCTCAATTTTGAGTTTCTTGTACACACGGAGTTTTTACAGATTTTTCGATTTCTCCGGTTGCAACAGTTACCCTCTCTTGATTTCTTCGCCCTACAGACGAAGAGCCTTTTGTCTCATTGATCTATTTCTATGGGTTCCACCATGTCGTCTGTAGAGCGGATAACTGTAGAATATGCCTAAAATCGTTGTTTAGTTGCATTCCTCTTATTTCTTCACGTTTTTCAGTTTTTGGGTTCGTAGTCTCTCTCAGGCATCCTTTCTCTTTCCTCATCATCTCCTTTTCAAAATCTAATTGATTGTCCACCCTCAGGCAAAATTTGGGAGTTGTCGACCGTTTGGGTGCTCAATTCGCTAATGAGTATGTATGAACCAGCAAAATAGCAGAAGAATCCACTCAAATTCCACTGTGTACAAATAGCTCAGCCTTGGTCTCTGTTAATTGATAGACACGCTCTATCTTCTTTCCTTTTCTTTGCTTCATCTTATCTGGGTTTCTTCCAAAATGGGAAAAAATCAAGCCTACAAAGCTATGCAGAGGGCGAGACTGGGTTCAAGCTCGGCCGGGCCGGAAGAGATGGAAGACGGCATGGTTTGTACCCTTTCATACTATCTCTGATTTTGTAATTTATGGTTCTTCTGTATTGGCAACCAAAGAGTTTCACTTTTTGGTCATGGCTATTTTGTTTGTAGAAACATTGTCTCTCTTTATCTGTTTCCTCGTATTTCTTGGTTGCGTTTGTGGGAAATACCCTTTTCCTGTTGATGGCTTCTGTCAAATGTTTTAAGGGTATGTTGGTAGTGGGTAGTGAGAACTGAGAACTGATAAAGAATTTAGATTGTCTGAGATTCTAGGCTTTTTGTGATTGGGTTGCTTGTGTTGTTATGGGTACTAAGTAATTTAACCTCCTGGAAACTTACCATCGAGGTATGCTTTTAAAACCATTCAATATTCAATTGATAATTTATTTGGAAACATAGAGTTCTGGTTTCTTAGAGACAATTGGGGCTTTCAGTTAATATGATGATGTGGAAATTGAGGTGATGAAATAGAAAGGTAAGTAAACGCCTTAATATGTTCTATTATTCTGGGTGACGTGTAGATCACTACTAAAAATTTATAGGAAGAAAAGAATTTCTGGGTGACATGTAGATCACTATTCTGGGTGACATATTTAGAGGTATGGTTATCAAGAAATACCTTTTTTATGCAGTAATTTCTTGATCTTTTTTTGAAAGCTAAAATGATATTGTATTAATGGAGGGAGAGGGTCCTCACGCCGAAAGATATTGCAAAGCTGATATATCCGTGTATCATTTTTATATACACTGATATCATACACCTGTTCCCAAATGGTTATTTTCTAGTGATACCAACAAATTCATTGCGAATTCTAGCCCAAAAAATAATGAGCCTTTCCATCTCGCCAATCAAAGCTTCAGTTGGCATTTTCTTGTTAACAGATATTCTTTGGTTCTGCTCGTGCCATATTGACCACCATACGTTCTTGTTGTTTCATAAACAATTAAGATCTATTACTGTGAGAAGGGTATATCCCATGTGGAAAGAAAGACTCAAGATTTGCTGTTGAGATCTTATCATTGTTTTAAAAGGCATTTGAGGCTTATTTTTTGATGCTTTCCTCAAGGCAAGCCTCAAGGAAAATACCTGGAGGCTCAAGGTTGAGGTTCATAACATATAAGGCATATTCTTCATACCTTCAGATTCCTTATGTGTGCTTGTATATGAATGTCAGATTCCTTATGTGTGCTTGTTCTCTGCACTTATCTATGCTTCAACATATTTAAAACAGTTTTGGGATATTATTTAATTTTTGGAGATTTTCAATGTGTAAGAATGTGATGGCTTTCTCTGTAGTTTTATATTCTTATAGTCCTTGTTTATGTGATCATTTATTCATTTACATGCTTTTCTACATAAAAGTTACTTGTGTACTTGAGTCTTTCTATGGTACTGAAAAGGTATGTACCTTACAAATTCATAACCAACCAAAGAGTTTTTTTTTTTTTAAATTCGTTTTAGGTAGGTACCTTTCTGTACCACAGAAATTTCCTATATACTTTCATTCATTTTAGTTTGGTGTTTTTCTTAAAATATTAGTAACCAATGATGCTTAAGCCTTATTGTTTGAGTGAACATTGCTTATATTTACCAAAATTACCTGTCAAAACAAAGTCTTACAAAATTATGTGCTGGGTTGACTTAAAAATCTGTTGATAATCTCATAAAATTCTTTGAACTGAGATGGTTTGGTAGGGATATAAATTGAATGATGCTTGAATTTCATTTTCTAACTTAAGTTTAATTTTCCCTCAGATGGTATTCTTATTAATTTTGAGTAGACTTGGAATTGCTATAGGATCTTGGTGCCTTGAACTCAGTTCTCCAAATATTACTAACTTTATCTCAAACAACTCGAGTGAAGTTTTTCATGCATATGAAAAGAAAAACTCAAGTGAAGCTGTTGGCTCTCCTAAAAATATCAATAAACAGAACAAATATATTAAAATAGAAATTTTTATATATATGTTTTAGATTTTTTTGGTCTAGTATGGGTCAAAATGTACCCAATTGTGATTAAACAAATAATTTCATATTGTAAATTTCTTGCTTTTGCATGAGTTTCTTTTAGTAATATTGAATTTTGCAAAGTACTACTAGAACTATCGATGATTGATGAGCTGCTGGCTGCATTTATCTAATATTGGAAATACATTTATTGTTTTGACTTACATATTTTTCTCTTACCACATTGTTTATACTCTAACTTAATAGAATCTTATTAGTTATCATCTAGGAAATGTAAAATTATATTGGAAATACATTTAAAGGATAATCCTAGACCCTCTCAATTGGGACAATTTTCATGAATTCAGCAAATTTCTGGGAAATTGTGGACCTCAAGGTTCAAATTATTTATACTATACGCCCTGTAACAGGCATATCGTATCGTATCGTGAGGTTTCGGACACACCTGTTTAAAGGTATTTTCAGGAAACCACTTATTTTATTTATTAAATAATATAAAACATCTATAAAAATGAAAGTTAGAAAAAAAACTAAAAAAATGTGCATGGTTTAAAGTGTCAATACACCCCTGCCAATACATTTGGGTGTTTCAATACTTTAAACCATGGTGGACTGTGATAGAAATCTTTAATTGCATGACAAAGTAATATATTGTGTGCAATGCAACCATAGTTTTCAGTGAATTTGTTGCAATCTATTCTTACTATTGATTTTGTTGGGAGGATCTTAGTAGTATCTTGAACTATTTTCATTTCCTGGATTTTTACTGATGAGGACAGTCACAGGTGGATGGTTCTTTTCATTCACCAGAGTGGCATGCTGCTCGTTTGGCTAGTCTCAAAACTTCTCACACAATTACCTGGGAAGAGTTCAAACAGAAACAGAAGGTAATATCTCCTAAAAAGCAAAAACTTTTGGTCTTTTGAACAGCCAATTTTGAAACTTTAATTCCTTTTGTATTCCTTTTGTATTTCCATTTTGATTTTCCATTAGCAACATGCCAACCCTTGCAATATTAGCCATGGAAAGCTATCATCAATCATTGTAATAGTTGGGTTTGGGGAAGATCCATACATGCTTATGTGTAGACCCTATTGTATTTGGAGGGCATGGATTCAATTGGGTCCTGGTCCAGGTATAGAAATGCACCCCTTGGTTCTGGACCTGTGCCTGCATTTTCTTGGTATGGTGATAACTAATTGGATATTTAGTTATGGACCCAATTATTATTTGATAATTATAATAATTGGATATTTAGTTATGGTGATAAATAGAAGTAGTTATTCATGTGATAAATATAATATTTAACTATTTAAATCATCTATTTTTTAATTTTTGTTTCTTCTTTTTTTGATAATTAATAGAGATATATTGTATAAATTGCCAGAAAAAGGCAGAAGCCCTGACTGTTCAGAGTTGACAGTAGGGTAGGGTAAAGGAGGGATAGAGAGAAAGATACCTCTCTAAGGCTCTTAATCTTCTCTTGTTTGATTTATATGGTTGCTTGCCATGGGTTTTTTGAGCGTTGAATGCGTGATTATACTTTTTCTAAAGGTTCCTTGAAGGTTTATTTTCCAATTCCATGTTTTTAGAAAATTTCCTTATTTTTTTTAATATTCAAATATTTTAGTGAAGCTAAAAAAAGTATCCTTGAAATTTCCTCATCTCTGCATGGTGAAATGTTCATTGATATTGAAATTAGTAACAATGGTTGTAGAGCATCTCCACCTCTCATTTTACCTCCTTTATGTAGTCAGGTGCTATTGCTACTGCAAATTTAGCCTCCACATTCTCTTTATAGCCTTGGATCATTGATTCAGGGGCATTTGACCACATACTGGTATGTCCTATTTTACATCTTACTAGTTATGTTCTAGCAGAAATGGTCACTATTATTATTTCCCTCACCTCAGTAGCCTTTTCCTGCAAAAGAGATTTGGAGTAGACCTGTCCTTCCCAAGATTGTGGCTTTTTGTTGGGAAGTTTTATGAGATTAATAGCTTTGATGTTCTTCAAAAAAGAAAACCTAATTAGTGACTATCTCCTCACTAGTGCACTCTTTGTAGAGCCTCTGGTGAGACTTGCTTTCATGAGTAACTATTCTTTGGACTGTTTGGGAAGAGAGAAATGCATGGATTTTCAAAGAGCAGGAGAGAAGCAATGAGGCACTAATTCAATGGATCACAACAAGGGTGGTACTGTGGGTTAAATCCATGAATATTTTCTCACCTTTATTTGTTGAAGACATTATCAGTATTCAGGAAATGGGGTGAAGTGGCCGGATCCTCCTCTAGGAAAAGCAAGCAGCAAGGATTTGGGACACCACTAGAAAAGGAATTTATTAATCTCAATTTTGATGGCAGTAGCATTGGGATTTTGGGGCCATTTGGGGTGGGAGGGGGCTTTTAGAAATGAGGAGGGTCATGTGATAGTAATTTTCTCAAGTCAGTGAGTTCTATTGGGCATGGTGATTCCTTAAGTGCACGGACTACAGTTGCTAGCAATAACCCAAGGAGTGCAAAAGGTACTTGAAATGAAGATAAGTAAATCATAAACAGTTTCTCCTGTGCATGTATTGGTGAGTCCTAATTGGTGTATTCTTTGCAATGCTAGTGATGAACCTAATTATCACCTACTAATCTCCTGTCCATTTATTGTTGATATTTAGGAATGGTTTCTCTCATTTTTTTGGGTTCAAGTGGTTTCAACTGGTTAGTGTGCAGAATTGTTCTCTCTTGCAACAACGAGACAAAGAAGAAGAAGGGGAAGAATAGTATAGAGATGTGCAAGAGCTGCCATAGCCCATATTATGGACTGTGTGGGAAGAAAAGGAATGTAGGAATATTCAAAGAAAAAGAACTTGAGAGATGGTAATTGAATGCACTAAGATTAGAGCTGTCTTTTGGATCATATCTTTGGAGACCTTCAAGACATTTTCATTTGATGACGTAATTTGGAGGTGGGCAAAGGTGGCTAATTCATCTTTAAGAAGGGTAAGATCAATAGAAGGTGGGAACCTCCAGAGGTGGGATTTCTCAAACTCAACTTTGATGGAAGTAGCATGGAGAATCTGTGTCCTTCAGGGGTGGGGAGGGGTAATAAAGGATGAGCAAGGAGTTGTGAGAGCTATTTTTTTCTTGACCAACTGGGGAAAGTGGTTCTTTTAGGGCTGGGTTAGTGGCAACCCTAGAAGGCATTCAAGAAGCAGATGAGATGAATGTTTGGAAACTAGTATAGAAGGAGACTTGAAGGTGATAATCAGCTGGCTAAAGAATGGGGAAAAAAACCTTATGTATATATGAAATGGGATAAAGAAACAAGGTAGCTACTGGCTAACTCTTAGGTAGGTTGATAATTCAACTAAGCAAGGGGTGAATAGAAATCAATTGTTTTGGGTGAATTTGTAAAGATAGGTAGCTACTGGCTATGTCTGTTACATCTTGCCCAAGATATTACAACTTGTGAATCCCCTTCCACTTCCACTTATCGAAAACCCAATTGCTTTGCCAACTGGAGCCCCTGCAGTAATGCCAATAACTCTGCCTTTGTTGAATTTGTAATACCAATTGGCCTTGAATATAGAGCCAATATCCTACATTCCACATTCCTGATTGCTCCCTTATTCCTACCACTCCGTATTGCCCATAGAGCTTCCATCAAAATTCAATTTTACTTTGTTAACCTTTGGTAGTTTTTACTCAACTCTTAGAATTTCCTTTTCTCTAGAGGGCTGTGCTATTTCCTTCCATGCCCTTAGGATGTCAGCTAGTGAGAAAAGTTGAAAACTGTCTAATGTTTTTATCCACTATGCAACCCTCACTTTTATGCTGTCAATGACCTCTTCCAAATTTCTACTTTTCTAGCAAAAGTTCTGTTATTTCTTTCCTCCCATACTCCCCAAGCAACAACTGCTTTAGTAGCTCTCCACATTATTCTCCCTCTTTTCTTTTGTTGCCTCAAGAAGTTAGGATTGAAAATGTCCGTCACCTCTTGGGGAGGGTCCCACCTGCAGCCAAAGAGAGAACAAAAAAATTCCCAAATATGAACTAGCACAAAGGAGCAAGAGATCAATAAATGGGAGAGGGACTCTCCACTATCTTTACAAAGAAAACACATATGAGGAGAGAGGCAGTTGGAAGGTCTCCTTTTCTGCAGTAAATCACATGTATTTTACCTTACCAAGGAAAAGAGTCCAACAGAAAGCTTGAATTTTTGGTGGGGTAGGCTTGCTCCATATTTCTTTCACCAGGAGAACCACCCCTTTTTTTTCTTATTGGAAATGGTCCAGGAGAACTATCCCTTGGGGTCTAAGTAGATGCAAGATGTTTGAAGAAAGAGGAGCAAGAGAAGAGCCCATTTGGGGAGATTACCCAGAACCTAGAATCCTTTAAGTAAACTATCTATAAGGTTCCAAGAAGATCAACCAACAAATTGCACTCTCTATCCCTAAGGCCTCTTCTGAAACCAAGGTTCCAGTTGATACCTGAATGGGAAGCCACGCCTAGATATTCCATTCTGGAAATCAGAAATAGCATAAAGGTCGAGGAATTGATCTTTTAGTGGTGACTCCCCTACCCAAAGGTCTTCCCAGAGGCGGATTCTTTCCCCTTTTCCCACATCATACCAGATGTAACTAATGAACGTAGGGTAAACTTTGTGAATAGCTTTCCAAGGAGAGGCTGAAGTTGAGTGATCAGCCAATTTAGCATCCCAACCAGACTCCAGTACAATCTAGACCATAAATGCTTGCAATTACTTTGTGCCACAACCTGTCTCTTTCAAAGAAAATCTCCACAACCATTTACCCTACAAGGTGGTGTTCCTATGAGCAATGTTTCCTAATACTAGACCCCTTGACCTTTTGGCTTGCTAACCTGTACCTACTTTCAGAAGGTTGCTGGTATCGTGTGTGGCTAGTTTCGGAAGTGGAAGCGTCTCTTTGGGGAAGAAGTTCCAAGGTTGAAGATGCTGGCGTGGCGGGATGGTACACGTGGCGCACACTCGGTGGTGAACAACAGGGGCATGCAGAGAAGTCCCCTTGGGGAAGCTGAAAAGTTGTTAGCAGAGGAAAACCAAGCATCAAAAAATTTCAAATTAACAAGTGAGAAGGTGGGGCGGGCTTCCTATGCTGATGTGGCCAAAAGAAGGGGTGGGTCTGTCAGTATTAAGGGGCGCAAGGGCGATTCCGAACCAAACCAGATCAGACCCGATCACCCGATTCAATATTGGAGGTAAAAGCCGGCCCACGTGATTGCTTAAGTGATCACGTGGGTAGGGGCATTTTTCGTGCGACACTAGACCGAAAGACTGGTCTAGCTTCTTCTCCACCGAAGCCTGTTAGGGCTGGTTTCAACCGGGTGTCGAAGATTGGCCCCCAAACGTCAGTTGCAGTGGGCTGCACGCTCAGATGGAAGATTCGCAATGTGCGGAGCATTCCGTCTCAGGCTGGCGAGCTCCAAGGAGTGCTCAATCTAGTGCGATTGTTGGGAAGGAAGCGGAAGTTGATTGGGTGGCTTGTAGCGTGGAGGGGGTTGACGAAGAAGATGATTCGGATGGTTCTACCAGTCTGGACAGTGTAAGGGAAGAGATCTGGCAGCTAGAAGAAGTGGAAGACACGCTAAACCTAGGGCGCCTCTTTTCGGAAGAAGCTGGAAGTGAAGTCCTCTTTGGTGAGAAGTCCCGAACTGTTGGAGGAGAAGAGGTCAATATAGCAGAGTGCAAACAAATTCTAGGGAAAGGAAAGGGCAGGAAACTTTGGGAAACAAAGGAGAGGAATGGAAGTGGTGAGGGTAGGGGTAAAGGTGAAGGGGTAGAGGAAGGTAGAGATAGAGATGCAAGACTTTGGGAAATTTTTAGGAGGTTAATGGATGAGCTTGGGGAAAATAAC